TTGAGACCTGTCACAAAACTGAACTAAAGACAAAGCAACTTAATTAATTAAAAGTGGAGAATAAGGGACTGGAAAGATAGTTCAGTGGCTCCAGATCACTGGCTGTCCCTTCAGAGTACTCAATCAAGCTCGATTTCCAGCACCCACATGGCAGTTTACAACTGCCTATAACTCTATTCCCAGTGGATCTGATGCCTCCTGGCCTCCTCTGGCCTTCAAAGGCACAGGCACACACACAGTACACAGACATACATACAGACAAAACAATCATACAAATAAAATAAAAATAATTTAAAAAGTAAAAGTAGAGAATAAGTGGCCGAAGAGGTGGTTCAAAGGTTAAGAGCACTTACCAGAGTTCCATTCCCAGCACTCACATCTCGGCTCACAATCATATGTAACTCCAGTTCCAAAGACTCTGTTCCCTCTTCTGGCCTCCATCAGCACCAAGCATACATGTGATACACACGCATACATGCATGAAAAACAGCCCCTCTCCCCAAAAAAAGATACATGGAAGTATCCTATTTTTTTAAAAAGTGGAGAATAATGGGGGAACAGTATCAAAGTTTACCTTAAGCCAGGAATGTTGCTGGACACCTGTAACTCTAGCACTCTAGCACTCAACAGGCTGAACCCAGAGGATTGAGAATTCAAAAGCAGTGACTAAATAGCAACACCCTGTTTCAAAACAAGCAAGCAAACAAACAAACCAAAGTAGAAACAAAAAGTTACTATAGTCAAACTAGTTTGTTGGTAAAACATGTATTAAAAAATCCAATATCCTTTACCTGGACCTCCATAGGCATGATTGGAAAAGGAAAAGGAAGGCTTTTTCATTGAAGGAATACTACCAGAACCAGGCATCCACCCATGTGGGATCACACTGTTCTCATCTACTTTACTCGCAAGTCCAGAGACACATATTACTTCTAATTCTTGGGAGAAATTGGGAAAGGAAGCCCCAGAACTGTTCCACAAATCTTTTATGTAGATAAGATTCCACTACTGTGTAAAGTTTTAAATTTCTCCTTACAAGATCTATATTTAAAACAGAGTAGGCAGAGGCTAAGATAAAACCTTTGGCTCACCATCTGTTTTTCCTTTTTTATAAGCAATAAACACACTTGGAAAACCTCAAAAGAGTTTTGTGCTTACTTTAGGAAAAGATAGCATGAAAAAAATTAGTGTGATTGTAATTCTTCTACAGGTTTGGGGTAGGACAGGGTAGAGTAAGTCAGAAAGTAACATGAAGAATTTGGGGAAAGCACATGGGAGAAGAGATGAGATGTCATCGAAAAGTAGGGAGAGCCACAGCAAACAGTCACTGTTGGAAAGATGCTCACTGACATAGAACTTTACTTCAAGGTGATAAAACAGGAAATGGCCATATAAACTTTAAATTTCTTTCCCTCCCTCCTTTCTTTTTTTTTGAGACAGGGTTTCTCTGTGTAACCTTGGTTGTCCTGGAACTCACTCTGTAGACCAGGCTGGCCTTGGACTCAGAGATCCACCTGCCTCTGCCTCCCAAGTGCTGGGATTAAAGGTGTGCACCACCACCACTTGGTGGAGCTTTTTGCTATTGATTTTTTTTTCTTGCTTATTTATAGGTGCTCTTTATAAACTAAGAAACTTATCCTCAGGTCTAGAGAGAGATGGCTCAGTGGTTAAGAGCACTGGTTTCTCTTCCAGAGACCTGGGCACCAGACATGCATGTGGTACACAGATACACATGCAGGCAAAACACCCATACACACTAAAGAAGAAACTAGCCCCTGCAGTCAGGTGAAGATGATCAGAGCACACTACAAACATGTTTGAAAATGCTATAATGAGGGCTGGAGATGTAGCTCAGTTGACAGGCGCCTGTCTAACATACATGAAGCCCTGGTTAACCCCAGAACCACATAAACTGGGAGTGGTGGCACATGCTTGTAATTCCAGTACTTGGGAGGTTGAGGCAGGAGAACCAGCAGTTCAAAAATCATCCTCAGGCTACATAGCAAGCTGGAGCCCAACCTGTGATATATAAGACTCTATCTCAAAAAGAAACAAACAAAAAAACCCCAAATCTTATAATGAAATCCATTACTTTCTATATAATCAGCATCATGTAATAAGATGAATATGATCAAAGTATATTATATATATGTATGAAAATGTCATAGTGAAACCCATTATTTTGTACAATATAATGCTAACTACGAAAAGAAACTTTAAAAAAATAAAGACACTTGCAGCTGGGACAATGGCTCAGTGGAAAAAGTGCACCTGAGTTTAGATCCCCAGCAGCCATGTAGAAACTGGGCTGTGGTGCCAGCCATACTTCCGTCCCTCAGCACTGAAGGGTGGTGAAGTAGAACAGGCAAACCCAGGGCTCACTGGTCAGGTGGTCTAACTAAAAGAACAAATTCAACTGAGACCTGTCTCCAAAAAACCACAACAAGATACTGGGAGTGATACAGAAAAACACCCAACCACTGGCCTCCACACCTCCACACATAGCACGCGCGCACGCGCGGGCACACACACACATACACACACACACACACACACACACACACACACACACACACACACACACACACACACACTGGTTCTTAGACATTATAACCCGACAAACACTTATGTCTGTGTGTTGTGTATAGTGGATGCCCTTTTGTTCTCCTTTTTAACCTCAATCATCACCCATCCATCAAAGAGTCTAGAAATCTCTGCTGACTTCCAAAAGGCAAATAACATTTTTGCATTATTAGGAAAACAGTTTTGACCTCTAGACACCCTGGCTCACCTTGCGAATACGACTTGACATTGTTTCTCTCACCCATTTCTCTAGCAATCATTAATAATGACTGGTTTTTGTTGGCATAAATAGCCTACAGGCAGAAAAAGAGCTGAGAACCACAGATTTTCAAAAAATCTTCAAATTCACCAGCACACACGCTCATTCACAGACTAACCAAACCCATCACATTTACTGCTTGCTTACGTACGACCCTTTCTTTCTCCTTCTCCACTCCATTTCAACCAAACTTGGAGGTGATCAAAATAAACTATCTCTGATCTTTCTTCAAATGTACCCTTTTGTCCAGAAGCCTTATCTCACTCAATCTTCTGACCTAAATCAGTGTGTCTCATCTCTAAAGCCTTCCCCTGAGATCCCATTCCCAGTTACCCACCCCCGCCTTTTTTTGGGGGGGGGGGTTACTTCCTTAGCACATTAGGACTGCAATTACTCTTTATGTCTGCCTTCTTATCATATACTGAGCTACCAGAAGGCTGATGTACTCTGTACAGTCTTTGCACTTATAGTGTCTTCCACAAAACTGGAACCCAAATGTGGTTACACATTTGAATCTGTCTTTCAGAGTCAATTCAAGGCTCATATATCCACAAAGTAATCCAGGCCATGGTAACTGCTCCTCCCACTCTGGATGTGGGTTTGGACTACATAAAAAAGAGAAATCCAATTGAGCAGTCATCTGCCTCTGCTTCCTGACTATGAATGCAATGTGACTAGCTACTTCAGGCTCCAGCTCCCATGTCCTCCCTGAATTAATGGACTGTACCCTCACACTGCGAGCAGAAATAAACCCTACCTTCAGCTGCTTTTCTCAGGTATTTTGTTACAGCAGTGAGAAAAGGAACTATGCCAGAAAACTGGTACTCAGGAATGGAGCCTTTGCCATGACTAACCTGACTATGTAGCTCTTAGACTGAACTGGTTTGTAGAAAGAATGTGGAAGTTTGGAACTCTGGGATAGAAAAGCCCTGGAATGCTGTAGGCATAGGTTAATCAAAATAATCTTCAAATTCATTAACATGCATACTCCTTCACAGACTAACCCAGATGATTGGAACCCAGATGATTCATTCCATCAAGAGCCCCAGATACTCAACATGGAACTGCAACATTGAGTGTTTGGGGTTCCTTTCTCACTATCCATCTCACTTCTTCATAACTGGTTAGCAAAATTCTAGTTATTCTTCTAGGGACCATTTTAACTGCAGATGAAATTATCAATTTGAAAACAGGTGCTGAGATGCACCCTCTTAGCACCTAGAATCTGCAAGCTTAAATATGACACTTTACTCTGAGGCCTTAATACACCTGCTGTTCCCCTTTTGTGCTCAAGTATCTTAGATTTATCATTTCTTATTTTAGTTGATAATAGTTTTAGCTTCCTTCACACATTCTAATGTATAGTTACTGGTAAAAATGCCAAACCTTTGGGGTAGAGCATAAGAAATAAGGCAAGTAAAAAATCATACACAAAATGAAAATATAGTCTTTGAAAACAAGTAATTTATGATAAGTGGGCTCAGACCAATGTTTTTCCTTAAATGGAATTTATCTAAAAGGGCTGGCTGTATCTTCACTATCTCCATTCCTTCATGTATCCACACCTAACGGTGGCAGGCAGCATTCTCTAGAAAACAGTGTATATATAATCATTAAAACTTACTCCATGATATCAGATTGATAGTAACTCTGAAGATCACTTTTTCCAATCTCCACTGTTTTGCAAGAAGGAGTAATATATGGGCGAATATAGCTAAAAACATTCAGAAGGTGTAGGCGTAGGGTATAGATTCTATCTGTTTAGAAGTACACCATCAGTTACAACCTTGAACTTTTAATACAAAAGGGACCTACCTGAAGTTAGGGGCAATTCTTCCTGACACATACATACATACATACATACATACATACATACATACATGAATAATCGTTCAATAAAGAAATCCTGGAATTAATTTCATGTAAGAAGGGGCTGTTAGACGTGATGGTGCATGCCTGTAAACCTAGCACTCCAGAGGCCGAAGCATGAAGATCATGAGTTCGAGGACCGCCCAAGCTACACAGAGAAACCTTATCTCAAAAAAGGAGGTCTGATGAATGAAGAAACAAGGAAGCCATCAGCTGACAAACAGCAGTCTCCTCACCCCATTTTGCCCCTCCCCACAAGCTGTAGGAAGTAGAAAGCTGCAGACTGTACCTTCCAGGCCAGAAGCAAAACATTGAGGATGGCCAGCAAAGGGCAGGGTCCATTCTCATTCTGCGTGATGATGGGCGTGTTCTCCTCTTTCCACTGGATCCATTTGATGTGATACACCGACTGTCCGGGAAAGCGTTCTTTGGAGGCCGCTAGCACCTGAGCCGGGTCCTCCTCCTCCTCCTCTTTGCACAGAGGTGCAGCCCTGGGCGGCCCCGCCGCGCCCTCCTCCACGTCTTCGGGGACCCTGGTCTCCGCTCCCTCCTCACTGTTGAACTCAGAGCTACTGGGGAAAGAATGCAGGTTGGAGAAAGACTCCAGGGAGTCCAGGCTGGGCGAGTCCCCAGGGGGGCTCGGCTCGCTGCAGCTGCTGCTCAGGGCGCCGGCGCTGCCGGGCTCCTCGGCCGCCTGCTCCACCCTGCAGGTGCCCGCGTCCGCCACCGGCCCCGACCCTCGGCCAGCCGCGGCCTCGGCCAGCTCCGGGGAGGCGGTCACCTTGTGCTGCCCTCTCGGGGGCGCCTCCGAGGCGGCGGGGCTCGGCGACGCGCTGTCCTTCAAGCCGGAGCCCGCGCCGCAGCCGAGCTGGGAGGGGGACGTCGGGTCCCCGGGGCTGCTCCGCGCGGCCGCCGCCCCCTGCCCGCCGCTCTCCTCCGCGCGTCCTGCGAGACCATCCTCAGCCTCGCGCCCGCCGTGCCCTCGCCCTTCCGGCGGCGACTCCCGGCCCGCCGCCACCCCGAGTTCCAGAGGCTGCGGGTTGTCAGGGCCGCTCTCCATCCCCGGCCGCCCGCCCCTGGTCCTATAGACACCGCGGCCGGCTCTCCTCAGCCAGCGCCTCCGACGCCATGACAGCCGCTCAGTGGCAGCTCCAGCGCCCTAGCGCGGCCTCGGCCAGGCACGTCACCGGAGAGGGTGGCGGGAGCGCGCGTGCGCTCGCGCTGGCGCGCGCCCGCCCGCCTGGTCGGAGCGTGCCTCCGCGTGACCGCGCTCGGTGAGGCGCCGGGACCCACACGGAGAGCGCTGCCCCCCCCCCCGAGGCCACGCCCCGCCCCGCGCGTTCAAGCCTAGGAAAAAGCAGAGAGAGAGAGAGAGAGGCTGGGGGCGTGGTTAGGGGCGTGGCCTAACTGCTCCCGCAGCCGCAACGCCAGTAGGAAAATAGCTTCTGTGTGGGCCGGAAGTTGAACTCCCGGGCATCCCTGCTGCGCGCGGTTACTTTAAAGGCTGTCGCCAAGGCCGTAGCGAGTGTGGTCCAGCTTTGGGCTTGTGCCTGGTGAACCCCGAAAGTGGCAGTAGCACTTGGAAGGGAGCCATTCCCTGAAGGGCTCTGGAGAGCTGTTTCTTTAGCTTTTAATATTGAAAACTGGAAGCATTTCTTAGGAAATGCAGATTTTAAAGGCGGAGTGGAGGCTTTTGGAAGACTGCGCTGCACGGGGGCAGCTCTCCTTGGGTTTTGGCTGAGAATCGCTGTGCTCCCCACCAGCTACTGGTATGCCTTCCCGAGGCTTCAGTGCGGTTGTGGATATTGGCCTACGCCCCAGGAGAGAGGGTAAATTTGGGCCAATAATAATAAATTAGTTTGCGTTTGAAGTAAGCCAAGTCTTTGCGGTTCTGTTTACTTGGCTCCACTTTGCAGAGAGTGGGAAGCGCCTGCTCCAGAAAAAGTGACTTTTTCTAATTAGAATTGACTTACCATGAAGCTTTGACGTCTGCAAAGAGGTCAGAATTGCCTGCAAAAAAATTTTTGGCAAGAGTGGATACAGATCTTCTGACCTGTTTTGGAAAAGGGTTTCTTTCTGGACCTTCTCTTTTCAAAGTTGTCTAGGCTTAGAGGATATAAAAATGAACAAGACAGGTCTTCCTTCAGGGTCAGACATACGAATACCTGGTACATCTGTCTCTACTGCCTAGAAAGGTAGACAAAATAAATGCATTGTTTTGCTCCTTCACATTTTAGCACCAAGTATGTTGTTGAGTATTGTGTTTCACACTAAAGATGGCATTGTTATCTTCTCAGAAATTATGGTCCTTTCTCTCCTGGCCCTCTCTTCCACTTCTCTCTCCTCTTCCCCCTCCAACTCTCTCCTCTGTCCCTTCCTTTCTTTTCTTCCCTACCTCTCCTTTCTTTTTTCAGTGCTGGGAATCAATGCATGTCAGCACTCTACAGAGCTACACCCCTTACCACTTGGTTTTATTTTATTTTATTATTTTTTTGAGACAGGTCACAATATGTAGCCCTGGCTGGCCTGGAACTCCCTACGTAGACAAGACTGTCCTCGAACTCCCAGAGATCTGCCTACCTCTGCCTCTTGAGTGCTCATTTTACTCTTATTGCTACCTTTGTAATAGATGCTCAGTGAGTATATGTTCCTGAACATGCAAAAGATCATGCCCCCCCATTTCAATTTAGAGAGTCTCACTGTGTCTGAGACTGACTGACATGGAATTTACAGCAATCCTCCTGTACTCTCCCACACTCCAATTTTGAGATTATAGATGTGAGCACCTTTTTTTTTTTTTTTTTAAAGATTTGCAACTTTTGCCGGGTGGTAGCACACACCTTTAATCCCAGAGACCTAGGCAGGCAGCTCTCTCTGAGTTGGAAGCCAGCCTGGTCGACAAAGAGAGTTCCAGGACAAACAGGGCTACACAGACAGACCCTGTTTCACAACAACAAACTGGCAACTTTTTTTTTTAATTGAGGCAGTCTCACTATGTAGCCCAGGCTAGCCTGAAAGTTGTTATGTAGACATAACATTGCAGACATTAAACAATTAAGAATATGCTGTTGGATCTGATCACTTTACAGTATTGAAATCCGTGAAGTACAGCTGAAAATATCACTGACTTCAGAGAATTCATTTGTGTATGGTACCTTAAATCTAAAAGGAGAACTGCAAATGTGTGCTATATGACTAAACTGGGTGAATAAATGAATTATTTGTAGGCCAGCATAGCACACAATAGAGCCCAAAATAATGGAACAAACTTCTCAAAGAATGGCTTTTTCACCAGTTTTGAAAATTCTGTGTGGATAAACCTGTACTTTGGTAGTTTTTATTGGTATGTGTTTCAATTGAGGCTGGGTGAATACAGAGCTTGCTGTTCTTGCAGAGGACCCAAGTTCATTTTCACTGTAATCATTGATCGTCTGAGAAAGGTAGAGCTTTATTTTGTGTTTATAATGTATTGTTTGGCTGGGTATAATGGTCAAGGTTGGAGATACGTTTTCTTCATTTGAACTTAGTGACTGTTTTCTGGCTTCCAGCTGATTACTAAGCAACCTGCTACGATTATGACTCCAGAAACTTCTGTATATAACCTGTTCTCTCTGAAGTTTATCTTCCTCTTCATCCTTTTCCCTGCCTCCCTGCCTCCCTTCTTCCTTTCTCCCTCCCTTCCTTCCTTTCTCTTTCTTTCTCCTTCTTTGGAGAAAGGGGCTGTGTAGCCCAGACTAACCTTGAACTCACGATCCTCTTACCACAGCCTCCCATCAAGTTTCTTCTTATTTTTGATGTTCTGACATTGCACTAGTTAATATTTCTTTGTGTGTACCTTCCTTTATTCATTGTGCTGACTACTTGGTAACCACAGTCAGTACAGAAATTTATGTTCTTCAGGTATGGGAAATTGATTATTTCTTAATAATTCTGACCTTTTCCATGATTTTAGTCTTTATCTTTAATTTTCAAATACTCCATCTAGTTCCTTTTTATTGTTAATAGTATACAAACTTTTATTTTAGAATATTGATTATAATTTTTATATTACCCTTTTGATGTTATATATTTTTTTAAAGATTCATTTCTTTTTATTGTATGTGAATGAGGGTTTTGCTTACATTTGTGTATATGCACTGGGTGTGTGCCTGGTGCCTGCAGAGGTCAAAAGAAGGTATTGGATTCCCAGAACTGGAGTTACAGACAGTTGTGAGCCATCATGTGGGTGCTAGGAACTGAATCTGGGTCTTCTGTAAGAGCAGCAAGTGCTCTTAACAGCTGAGACATCTCTCCAGCCCTACCTTTGTATTTTCCAAAGGGTATCGAAACATACACATCAATAATGTGTACTTAGTAGTGTTAGGGATTGAGATGGAGGGAAAGAAATATAGAATAAGTCTTACTTTGGGAAATAAGATACTGATAAGGGCTGGAGAGATGGCTCAGTAGATAGTGCTTGCTTCCCAAGCATGAAGACTGGGTTTGGATCCCCAGCACCCAGATAAAAGCCAGGTGCAGTGGAGGGACAGACAGACAGATCTAAGGGTTCCCTGATCAGCCTGTCTAGCTGAAATAGTGAACTTCAGGTTCAGTGAAGGACCCTGTCTCAAAGAACAAAGAGGGCAGAGTATGGTGGTGCACGCCTGTAGTCCCAGAACTCAGGAGGTAGAGGCAGGCAGATCTCTGTAGTTTGAGTCCAGCCTGGCCTACATAGCAAGTTTCAGGCTAGCCAGGGCTACACAGTGAGACCCTGTCTCAAACAAAAAGACAAACAAACCCACAACAAAGCAAGAACAACAGCAACAACAAAAACACAAAAACCAAACAAGTTGTCGAGTGATTGAGGAAGGAGTGATTGACCTCTGGCCTCTACACAACCCTCGAAGGTGAGTACACCAATACACACATGCACAAACACATACTACACTCATGGGTTAAGACATATTGACATGAAATTATTGTTGAGAATATGTCACAATATTAAATAATTAGTAATAAACAATAAATATTGCAAAAATTCAGAGGAAAGAAACCTATGTGAGATAATAATTAAAAGTATAGGCTGAGTATTGCCTTAGACTTAGGATGTAGAAAATATATATCTCAGCTGGGCAGTGGTGGCGCATGCTTTTAATCCCAGCACTCAGGAGGTGGAGGCAGGCGGACCTCTGTGAGTTTGAGGCAAGTCTGGTCTACTGTAAGAGTTCCAGGACAGCCAGGGCTACACAGAGAAACCCTATTTCGAAAAAAGCCAAAAAAAAAAAAAAAAAAAAAAGAAAGAAAGAAAAGAAAAGAAAAAATATATATCTCTTAACTATCAAAATTATTATTATTATTTTGTTAGTGTTTTGGATTGTCTTTGAACAAGGTCTTTCTACTTGGCTCTAACAAGCCTGGCACAGTACTAAATCCATAGTTCAGACTGGCCTCAAGCTTGATGCAACCCTCCTGTCTCTACCTTACAACTGTTGGAATTACAGATGTGAATCACCACATCTGGCTAAAATTATACGTATTTATTTTGTGTTACCAGGAATTGAACCCAGGGCTTCCTGTTTGCTAAGCACGGGCTATACAACTGAGCTTTATCCTGGCCTTGATTATTCGGTTCTGTTTTGTTCTAGGGTAGCCCAAGTTATCCTCATACTCTTACTCAGTCTCCCAGGTGCTGGGATTATAGGCATGGGCCATCACTCTTGGCTCCAGCCTATTAAAACCATGTTTATTTTGAAGCTACACTGCAAATTTTCTAGCTGTTACATCAGAAAGCTTGGCATCATCTTTGCCTTTCACCCTCGGCACTCATCATTATTCTCTCTGTCAAGTCTTACGGGGATGTTATTTATGCACCCTTTATTTTTGTCCCTTCTCCCTGTGGCCACCCCTAGTGCTATATACAAGTAGTATACAGCACTATTCCAGTTACTTTGTGGCCTATGGCCTTTTCTTCCTCACAGCCTACACATGCCTATAAAAATTATAATTCAAAAGTCTTTGCTTTTATGAAGTTGACATTCTACAAGTAAAGAAATCGGTGGTTCTTGTATTACTCAGGGTTCTCTAGAAGAGCAGAACTGATAGAATGTATGCATATTAAAAAGGGAACAACTAGAGTTGCCTGTGACTGAGAGGGAGTGAGTGGTCCAATACTGTCTGTCTGCAGGCCAGAGAGGCTGAGAACCTGGTAGCTGCTCAGTCAGTGAAACGGTATTCATCAGCAGTCCCAGTTTGGTGCTGAGGGGCTGCAGA